TCAGAAGAGTACGTATCTGAGCAAGCACTGGTCCATCTCCGTTCTCAGCAGCTGGATTGCCTTTTTGTGCTGACTTCGGAGTGTCTGAAATTCTCTGCCGCGGCCTCTTCTTTTTCTGCACTGATATCTGCCCCTTCAGTGCATCAAGTTGAAGCTACATCATAGTCATCAATGAAGAAAGGGATGATTGTGTCACCTTTGCCCTGGACACAGCAGCACCATTCTTCCCCCCTTTGCGACTCCCGTCGCCACCGCCCAGTAGAGCATCAGCGTCGTGATGGATGGGAGGCTTCCCCGCCTCGAGAACCACACTTGAATTCACGGCGGCCTTCACGGCCGTACATTTGACACCTAGGTTCGCCTCGCTCAGGGCAAGCGACCCGTCGACCGCGAGGACGGTGCAATCAACGTCCAGGAGCGTGGTGTCGTCGTCGACTGGCAGCTGAACCAGCCGGGCCGTTGGCTTCAGCCGCTCCAGGCAGATGCAGCACTGGTCCACGTCGACGTCGCAGGCCAGGACGCTGGGCAGGCACGTGAAGTCCTGGACCTGCAAGGAAGTGTTCGCGCGAAGGATGCGGACGGTGTGTCTGCCTGGCTTGGTGAGCTCGTCCAGCAGCTCCCAGTAGCCGCGGACGCCGTTGGCCTCGATGATGATGTGCCCCACGCAGACCTGCTTCGTAGGGTTCTGACTGTTTCAATCAGCCACCAAGCCTTTACCCGACATCGTCAGAACCGCTGCGCCACAGTAATCGTCGCTGACGTTCCCCACGTCAATGCCCAGCACGGACCCATCGTCCTTCTGCAAGGTCACAGTCACGATGTCGAGGTCCTCGGTGGCCCTGGGCCTGGGGACCTGCTCCGGCGCGGCACTCCGGGGTGTAGTCTGAGCTTGCTGCTGGGTGGCCCTCGGCCGTGGCCTGGCGGGCCGGCGGCGAGCACCCTCACGGATTGGCGGCAGGACCACGCCGCTTCCACGGAGAGCTTGGCGCGCCGTCCTCGGGCCTGCGCTTGCGCTGCGACCGGCTTCGCCAGCCAGCGGCATTGCCGCCGAATTCCCGCGGTCCAGCACGGTGGGGCTCACCGAAACCTGGCGCGGAGGCAAAAAATGCAGTGATTGAGCCAAAATGGCTACGGAGCTCTGAGTCCACAGGAGGAGGAGGAGGAGGAGGAGGAGGAGGAGGAGGAGGAGAAGGAGGAGGAGAAGGAGGAGGAGGAGGGAGGGAGGGAGGGAGGGAGGGAGCGAGGGAGCGAGGGAGGGAGGGAGGGAGGGAGGGAGGGAGGGAGGAGAGAGCCACAGGAGGGCTCCAGGAGAGTCCCCAGGGGAGGCCAAGAGCGGCCCCAGAGCACGATCCACCGGTGCCAGGCTGCAGGATGGCCCCTAAGAGGGCCCAAGCACTCCCCAAGAGGTTGCCAAGGTGACCCAAAAGATGGTCAGAGGCACGCCCATGGCATGCAAAGGTGGCCCCAGATGGCCGCACGTGCCCGCCTCGGAGGCCCCGAGGACGGCCAGACAGATCGAAAAACACAAGCTGACTTCGGTCGTGAATGTGAATGGCCTTCGTGTCTGGGCGAGATCCAAGGGCCCTCTCGGGCCCCGCGGTGGCCTCAGGAGGGTTCCGAGATGGAGGAGGAGGGGGAGGAGGAGGGGGGGGGGGAGGAAAAGGAGGAGGAGGAGGAGGAGGAGGAGGAGGAGGTGGAGGTGGAGGAGGAGGAAGAGTCCTCAGAGGGCCCAGGGACTCCCCAAGAGGGCCTGGAGAGGCTCCCAGAGAACCAAAGGGGAGCCCAAGAGCGGCCCGAGAGCACGGGACCATCGGCACCGAGCCCTCGGATGGCCCCGAGCCGGCCCCAGACACCATAAGTCAAGGGGCTCCAGGACACACAAATAAATACACACAAATAAAATGATTCCCCATATTTTCTCATTTTTTCTTGGTTTCTGTCTTCCCCCCCACTTCCCATATTTTGCCATATTTCCCTGGGGGTCGACGATTAATTGTGTCTGTGTGTTTTTTCCCCTCCTGAACCATAAGATGGTGCCAAGGTGGCCCAGGATGACCCGAGGCATCCCCACGGAGTGCGAAGAGATCCCGAACGACCGAACACCTCCCACTCGGAGGCTCTCGAGACGGCCAGACTCCTCGACACCACATGTGTGCTTGCTGTTTGGGATCGCCTTGCCTCTGCGGGATCCAATGGCCTTCTCGGACCCCGCGGTGGCACCATTGGACGAAGAGGATCCCAAGACACCATTCAGAGAACCCCGAGACTCCACAAAAGGACCCCAAGATTGCCGCAAGAGAATCCCAAGATGGCATCAGAGGGCTCTCGAATAACTCATCGAGTGGGACCCAGGAAGGCTCCGGGAGGGCCCACGAAAGGGACCCATATGGGTCGCCGGCCCCACGATGGCCCCAAGCCAATCCCAAGAGGCCCCAGGATGTCGCCTCCGAAGCCCGACGTGGTCCAAGACGGCCCCTAAGAGGCCCCACGACGGCCCTCAGGGGCCCCTGGGCGACCTCCAGGAGCCTCCCAAAGACCCCCAAGAGCCCCTCGAGATTCTTGAGCCGACAGCCCACGAAGTGACTACCTACCAGACCACACCAACCCAACCCGAAGACCAGAATTTCGGGTTGGGGGGGGGTAAGGGTTCCACATGTGTTTTTGTCGATATTTCCCGGACCCCCCCCCCACTGGAAATCGAGGGTAAATCTGAGCCTTCGGGTTGGGTTGGGGTGGTTTGGTGGGTGGTGACGAAGGGGTCTTGCGCTCGGGCGGGGGCTGTTCGGTGGAACGGCACGCTCGCTCCATCCACCAGGCCACTGCTCCTCCCCCGCGCGAGCTCCGCGCGACGGCGCGGGGGAACAGCCGCCGCCCAACAAGGAGGAGGAGGAGGAGGAGGAGGAGGAGGAGGAGGAGGAACTGGCGACCAGAGGGCAAGGAGGAGGAGGAGGAGGAGGAGGCCCACGAGCACGCGGGCAAATGGCAGGGGCGATGCAGGTCCTCGTGCGACCAGAGGGAGCGCCGCACGAGGAAGGAGGGGACCCGTCTGGCCACGGGGAGCCTCGGCCACGCATCGGCTCCCCAGCCGAGGCCTAAGGAACGGCCTCGAAAACCAGATAGGAGGGCACCAACTATACACCAGCACCGATCCTGGCCAGGATCACCCTGGGCTCAGGATCGGTGTATACGCCCTCCTGCCTTGCGCAAGAAGGTATATACACCGATCCTGGGCCCAGGGTGATCCTGGGCCCAAGATCGGTGCTGGTGTATAAATGGTGCCCTCCGACCAGAGCCCCTTCCGTGTTTCCCCTCGAAAACGGCCTCGAGAACCCGAGCCTCGAAAACCAGAGGCCTCGGAACGGTCTCGCAAACCGACTGCAGGCCAATTTCTCCGTTGACAACTGGATATAAGCTCCTGGCGCGGATGATCCAGGTACGCATCCAGAATGGGATCTGGCGGTGCAGAGCAGAGAATGCGTTCGAGCCAGTTCGGTTTCCACCCGGGCGGAGGCCCTTCACAGGCCATCAGCATCGCACGTCGCATGTTCGAAGCTGCGCAGACTGGTAAAGCACCAGGACTGATTGCAGTATTTCCTGATTGGCCAAAGCTTTCGGTCTAATTTGCCATGATGCTCCGCTGGGTGCCCTACGAAGATTCGGACTACCTTTGGACATGATGCAGCTGTTTGCGTCCATCTACAAGCAAAGAAATTTCATATTAAAAGATCCTGCTAGGAACTTTAGCCAAAGGGTTCAAGCCGCAGGGATCGCCCAAGGGTGTCCGCTATCTCCTTAGTTGTTTATAATTGTAAAAAAGCGTCATGCCCAGAGTATCTGGTATGTCGTGATTCCCTAAACGCTGACCACACAATCCTCATCAGCAGCAACTCTGGGAAATTGCAGACTTTTCTGAGCATAGTGATTGATGAAGGCCGAAGGTACGGATTAGATCTCAATTGGGACAAGACTGTATGCATTCGCTCACATAACTCAAGCATAATATCTTCACCAACCGGTGCTCCGCTTAAAACTGTCGAGCAAGCTGTGAATTTTGGGGTCATGCTGAACGTTCACTGCGTAGCTCAACAAGACGGGGCAAGAAGACTCGGTGAGGCCAAAGCAACCTTTCAAATGCCGACCCGGCGTTGGTCGCACGCCGACATCTGTCGCCGCAGAAAAACTGAACTGTATAGAGCTGTCGTGTTGCCGAAGCTGCTTTACAACTTAAGACGTTGTGGCTGTTGCAGGCGGACAAAAAATCGTCTGACAGCTTTCACACGAAATGTTTAAGGCAAATCCTCAACATACCTAGCGCGTATGTTTCACGAGATCCTAGTAAGGAGATTCTGGACAAAGCGGAGGGTTTTCCGCTGAGCTGCACTTTGCTTGAGCGTCAGACGGCGCTGCATGACAAAATTGTAGCGTTGCAGGAAGACCACCCTCTGAGGCTTTTTACGTGCGAACCAGGCTTTGAACGCCCAAGACAATGGGAGCACCAGCGACGCAGAGGGAGGATTAAACAGCAGTGGGCTCCTTGCGTCTATGGGTTTTTGCTTGCACAGGGGATGTAGCCCTGGTCCCTCCCCTCGGTTCCCTCCTCCCCTCCTCCCTTCCTCCGGTTCTCCCTGCTCTATACGATGATCTGCTTCACAGTCGGGCGCTTTGTTTTCTGCGTCACAGTCGTGATGCGCTCTGCGCTTTTGTGCTTCACAGTCGTGATGCGCTCTGCGTTTTAGTGCTTCACAGTCGTGATGCGCTTCTCGTGCACGCCACGCGCTATCGCGAATGGGAGATTCAGCTCGGATTCGCAATGGATCCCGATGCTCTTCCCGACGGATTTTGCAATTGCACGGCTTCTGACTCTACTTTTGCCAATGCGCCGTGCAGGCACCAGGCTCGACCGACCGACCTTGACTGTACAACATGGGATGACGGAATGCGCGAAACGGTCGCAAGACGTTCCAACTCTCCTCCTTCCCGCCGACCCCCCATCCCCCCGCCGTGCAGCGCGGAGACCAAGCCGTCCTGGTCGATGCCTTGGCCTGCAGCAGGGGAGCTGAGCCGGTCGTTGAGATCGAATCGCGAAGCCTGCTTGCTCCTCATGTCTGACCATAGTGGGAAAGGGGGAGAGGAACCTGGACGGGTAAGAGAAAGAGGAAGAGGAATTGCCCACGGAGGCACCCAACCACTTCCTGGACGCTGGCAAATACCAGAAGACATGAGACAGCCTGTGCAATCCCGAGGCTCGGACGGCGGCGGCACAAGGTGCCCTGTGATTGTCAGGACACCACGAGGGCTCAAAGAACCAAAGGGGTAGCATGGAGGCGGAGAAAAGACGAGGGAGACGAGGAGCAGGGGGAGAACGAGAGAGAGAGAGAGAGAGAGACCCATGGGCCACCGCAGAGTGCACGGCACCTCGCGGCGCGGGAAGCACCGGGGGGCAAGGTCCCTCTTTGTGCGGTGGTCTGCGCAGCGCACCATTCCGCTGGAACCCCCAGGTGCGCAGGAGAGGGGCGAAGGCGGCGCGCTTCGCGGCCCCCAGGGCGACGAGGCTTCCTCGGAGAGTCTGCGTGCGGCACCTCGCTGCCGAGCTCCCCCCCCCCCCCAGAGGCGCAGGGAAGGGGCGACGGTTACACGCTCGGCAAGAGCTGCAAGAAGGGAGGGCGCCCTGGCAGCCTGGCCCCCCTCTCCCCAGCCTGGCCCTCCGACTCGTCCCTCGCCCCCGAGGGCCGTGGAGTGAAAGGGGCGGGCGGCTGAGGGGCAAACAAAGCTCTGAACACTTCTGATGCGGCCGGCTCTCGGCCCCGGATCGATCTGAAACTCGCTCACCCACGCTGCCGCCCCAGGGCTTCGGCGTCCTGCCCCTGCCCCACGGCGCCCGTGGAGCTCTCGAGCACCCCGCCTCTGCCCAGCACCCCCCCGAGGGGCGAAGACTCGGACCCAGCCCCAGCGCGCCCCAGAGGGCCCGGCAAGCCCCCCCCGCTCCCGAGAGGAGAGGCGGCGCTCTTCTCGATGCCGCCCGGGCCCGCTCGCGGCGCCCCGGCACCCGAGGGCGGGGGCGGCGGCGGCGGCGGGGGCGCGGCGGCCCCCGAGCCCGAGGGCGCGACCGGCGCCGGCAGCTCAGAGGAGGCGGGCCGGAGGGAGCGGGAGCGGGGCCCCGGCGGCCCCTCGCGCGCGGCGCCCTCCACGGCGCCCGCGCCGGGGCCGCCGTCCGTGGCGGCGGCGGCCCAGGGGAAGCGCACCGTCCACCGTCGCGGTGAGAGCGCCTCGCGGCCGGGCGAGCGTTGCGCGCCCTGGCCCAGGTGTCACCAGGGTGTCCAAGGAGGGCCCTGGAGCCTCCACGGCGCCCCCTCACGCGGCCCAGAGGGCCCCAGGGCTGCGAAATGGACCGAAAAGCTGGGGGCACTTTGGGCCAGGGACACCTTCCGCAACCTCTGACGAGTGCAGACGGAGAGGGGGGGGTGAGCGGGGAGGGGAACAGCAACGGGGAAGGCGGGGCGTGGAGGTAGAGGGCGCGTCCCCGGTTATGCTGCCCGGGCAGTTGGCACCAGGGGGAGGGATCAGGGGGGGATGCAGACTTCGAGAGGGTGCGAGGGGTCGGACCTGCCCTCTCTTGGAAAACGCATCCGACCGAAAGGGCAGGAGCGAGACGGTGACCCTGTGGGCTTGGATTGGCGGGGGACTCGCTGCTCACCCCTGGGACGTTTACTCCAGATTTCGTAATCAAAGGGACGGGGTCTGGACCCTCCAAGACAAGCCATTTCAGACCCCCCCCCGTGGGAGAACCCTCCCAAACACCATCCCCAGACCCCCCCAGGCCCTCCAAGATAGCCTGGAAGAGACCCCCCCCCCGAAATGAGACCCCCCTCCCTTTATTACGAAATCTGGAGTAGCCACTAGGCCTCCGTCTGCTCGGCCACCAGGCGAACAGTAAGGGGCTCCAGCGCGCGCAGCTCCACCTCTGGTCCAGCGCGGCCTGGGGCGGAGAACGAGGGAGACGGCAAGCTGGATCGGCGCCCAGGCCCGAATGCTCTGCCGTCGCCGGGGCGTCACTCGAGAAGGGCGGCGAAGCCCGAAGGGGGGTAAGGATCACCGATCCCCCACCCGCGGCTGCACGGTTTCGCCCGGGGCCGTAGGCGACCCGATGAGGAGGAGGAGGAGGAGGAGGAGGAGGAGGAGGAGGAGGAGGAGGAGGAGGAGGAGGCGGAGGAGGAGGAGGGGGGGGGAGCAGATGGAGGAGGGAGGAAGAGGAGGGGGAGAAGGAGGAGAAGGAGGAGGGGTAGGAGGAGGAGGATGACGGGCCGTCGAAGCCCTTCGGAGAAACCCTCCGCCCGCGGCTGCTTCTGGAGCGAGTCGTCCCGATCCTAGGTCTGCCCGACTAGGGCAAGGGGAGGGGAAAGGGGATGGAACTTGTCCGCAGCACCAGTTTCTGGACACCCTGCCTGCGGCGCGGACCCGGACGCTGCTCACGGCGGTGACGGCCTCGCTGGCTGACCCGCTCTTGCCGCCGCCGGCCTTGCCCGGCGGGCGCGCAGGGCCCTCACCGCCGTCCCCTTGCTGCACATCACTGCCGGGTACGAGCTCGATACCGAGCGCTTCGAAGCTCACCGAGCGCGAGCACTGTGCCAGCGGGATGTAGAACTCCAGCGCCTCCTTTATCGTCCGTTTCTGGATGCGCTCCTTGAACGTACGCGACGCCTCCACCTCGTCCAGTGCCTGGGGGGGGTGGGCAGCTTCTTGCTCCAACTCTCGCGCATCCGGAAGCCGCGGCAGAAGGATCCGCGTGACCACGGCATCCTCGACATCGACGCCGCCACTCCGACTGACATGCTCCGAAAGTGCCAACTGTATCGCGTCGATCTGTGCATCCTGCGCGTCGCGCTTCTTGGCGTTGCACACGTTGGCGGCTTCCTTCAGTCCCTCCAAGAAAGTACCGTGGTCCACAGCAGCCCCCCCCGCGCCATGGTCAGCGCGAGTCTCGGCTTGTCGCGAAGAGGCCTCCTGCTCCAACATGTACGCCAGCCGCCGATGCACCAGGACGTCCGCGTAGCGGCGTATCGGAGAGGTGAAGTGCATGTACGCGGGCAGCGCCAATGCCCAATGTGCCAGATCGGGAGCCTCCTGTGAAGGGGAACTGGGACACACAAACAAATAGACACAAATAACCATATTCTCCATATATTCCAGTATGTTATGGGCATTTGTCTTCCCCCCCCACTTCCCATATGTTCTCATATTCTCTGGGGAATCGACGATGACTTGGGTCTTTGTGTGTGTTTTCCCCTCCTGATCCTGTTCGTCTTCAACCCCGTCATCGTTCACTTCCGCCACGAAGTACTCGGCCTCCTCGAACTCCGTAAGGACCTCCGAACACACGGCCTCGTACGTCTGCGGCAGCATGCGCTCCTTCCGGGGACGCTCCCCCAAAGAGAGGAGGTGGCACCCGCGCCTGCTGGCCCCCATCACCGTCCAAGGATCGGGAGTGGATGAGACGGTGTGGAGGGGAAGAGGTAGAAGCTCGTTCTGGGGACCTTCCTGGAGCCACTCGCCCCGCTCATGCGTCGATACTGCGCCGAACGTCCATCGACTCGAGCAGAACTTGAGCCGAACTTAAGCAGAACTGAGTCGAGCTAGAGTCCAGCTAGAGCCAAACAGATCCATTAGGTGGGACCCAGGGAGGTCCCCAAAACGACCATCTTAGGAGAGGGCAAGGGGTCACCCTCGGTGTACTCCCACCCTCCCTCCAGGAAGGGGAGGGGAAGGGGGAGGCAAGGAGAATACCTGCTGCCCTCCTCCCACGTCCAGGAAGGGGAAGGGAATCGAGGGGGGGAGAGGAAGGGCGGGGGGGGGGGAAAGATGATGGGCAAGAAAGGGCAAGAGAAAAAGGGATGAGAGAAGGTGGGAGACATGGGGAACGGGAACGGGAACGGGAATGGAAGCGGGGGGCAATACGGATGGTCCACCTGAGAAACAGGCACTCATCCCATCCCTTGGGGAGCACTGGCGACTTTCTGAGGGCAGGAACGGTGTGTATATGTGTATATGTGTGTATATATATATATATATATATATATATATATCCTCCTGTGGCAGGTGGAGGCTTCCTCCTCCCTCTACCCTCCGCAGTGTCTTCTAGAGCGCCTCACACCGTCCGCCGCCCTCTCGTGTCTGTGCGGTGGGCCGCCTGGGACTCAGGGCTGGGCCTCCCTTCGCTGGGGAGGGCGGCGGTCGGAAAAGGAGTCCTCCCCTTGGCCCTCGGGGTGAAGGGGCCTCTCCAACAAGACAGCGCACAGACTGCTGAAACGCCGAAACCGACCGACCGACCGCTTCGAAAACTCGGTGCTCTAAGGATTTACGTCCGCCCGCTTGCTCCAGCGCGCAGGTTCCGTCCCGTGGAGCGGAGCGGCACGGTGTGCACACTCAGGGCACAGCTGTGCTGCTCCTCCTCCTCCTCCTCCTCTTCCTCCTCCTCCACGTCCTCCTCCTCCTTTTCCTCCTCCTCCTCCTCCTCCTCCTCCTCCTCCTCCTCCTCCTCCTCCTCTTCCTCCTCCACTAATCCTCCTCCTCCTTTTCCTCCTCGGCCCCCATTCGCCAGCGAACCCAAGGAACGCTGCTCGGCGCCCTCACGACGTGCGATGCCGGGGTGGCCGCGCCGAGGGCCTCCTAAGTCCGTGGGGCCCAAGGCCTGCGCGCAAAACGCCCTGCGGCGCCTGGGTGAATCGTACTGCGCGCGGCCGTCGCTGCCCGCGGACGCGGGGCAGCCCCTTGGTGGCCTGTTTGCGAGACGCGTGGACCACCGCCACCGAGAACCCATCGGTGGAGGGAGGAGGGAAAGGGGGGGAGGGAGGAGGGAGGAGGGAGGAAGGAGGGAGGAAGGAGGAGGAGGAAGGGAGGAGAGGAGGAGGAGGAGGGGGAGGGAGGAGGGAGGAAGGGAGGAGGGAGGAGAGAGAAGGAAGAGGAATGCGAGGAATGCGCATGAAAGACAGCAGAAGTCTTAAAGAGAAGGATTCCGAAACCGAGCTCGAGACCCCCCCCCTCCCCGCGGCTGTCCTGCGTCGACTCCACGACGGGCGGCCGCGTGAGGCGGGCGAGTTCAGTGTCTCGGACATGGCGGGGCGGGCCCCCAGGAAGAGGGTAACGCCCCTCGCGAATTCTCTTGAGATTATGATCACCCTTGGGGCTCGGGGTGCATCGGCCGACTAGCCATCTTGGGTCGCACGTGGCGGTCTTGCCACAGGCGCTGCAAAAGGTGAGCCCGCAACGCCCCCAAAACTGGAGGCGGCGGGGAAGGTGGAGCGGCGAACCTCCGATCTCCTGGGGACCTCGCAGCGGGGCAATGTCGTCCCCCAGAGGCCTGGCCTGGCAGGAAGAGAGGGCGGCAGCTTTGATGGTAGCTCTCGTTTCGTAACGAGAGCAGCACAGACAAACGAACTTGGGCCCGATCTTCCGCCACTCGCGGGCGGAGACACGGAGGACGCGGGCCAACGATGGGACGAAAGGCACCTCGGGATGCTCAAGGCGAGTCGCGTTCCAGGGATCGACGGACGCCGACTGCTCGAGAGCTCTCCGAGCCCGCCTGCGGATGAGCGCCGACTCGGCATCTCTGCGGTCGGTCTCGGGGACAAAACCGATCTTGAACATACTCCAATTCAGACGGGCGGCCCTGCCAGCGAGCACACCGGCGCATTCGTTGCCGAAGACACGGAAAACTTCGCTCTCGCTGGCGACATTCATCTCATCAACCGAAACGTGAGACGGGGTCCACTCGACGATTATCTCCGCGCCCCTCCCCTCGGAGGCCCTAAAGATTCTGGTCGAAAGGTCTTGATTCCGCACGTGGCCCCCGCACTCGCCTTGGGGCCAGACCTTCAAGATGGGGAGGTGGTCGGTCATATATCTGAATTTGCCCACCGTTCTCTCTAGGGCCTCAGCGAACGCTGTGAACTCAGCACGGGGGACGGTCTGGATTTTACCTGGAACCGTGATCCCGAAACCCGCGCACGGCTGCCAAGCGAACGCGCTGCCCTCGAGAGCCACAATAGCAGCTCCAACCCTGCGACGCCGAGGGTCGTCGGAATACTCACCCCCCGAGCCATCGCCGAACGCACGGACGAAACCCTCGGCATCGCGGGGTGCGGAGGCGAAGCAGCCGAAAGATATGTGCACGGGCTGCTTTTCTTCATCGAAGACTGGGCAGGTGTCGGCGCGGCTCGGAACGCCGCGGAGCCACAAGGACGGGCTCGCCACATGGTTGATCCGCGCCTCCTCCTCCAGGTAGGAGCTGTCGTCGTAGCCCTTGTGACCGCAGTTCATTGGACAGCTCCAGACACGATGGTACAACTCTTCTTCTGCGAGGCCGCACCTGCCGCACGTGGGCGCCACCTCATGCCCAGCGGCACGTAGGCGGGCGCGGGGCCACTGTCCGCCAGTGGTGACCGCGACGGTGAGCCCGACCAGGCCGTGCTCGTCGGCCGCGGCGAACCTCTCGATCTCGCGAGCCACGCGCAGCACGTCAGCGCCTTGCCTGAGGTCCTCAGCAGCCTCATGCTGGGACGCCTTGGCCCCGAGCTTCTTGTCGATCGAGCAACTGACGTCGTCGAGGATGGCCGAGAAGTCGCTGGTCATCTCATCAAAGCTGTCGTCGGCGGCGGAGGGGATGAGCCACGAGTGCCCCGCGTCGGTGTCCCAGTGCGCTGCCGACACGGGGTCCCAACTCAAGTCCATCAGCGCGGCGATCGTGGCGCTGACGGGCCCCTTGACGATGCGCCACGTCCGCTGTCCAGCTCGCCGAAGTCGAGGCGCGACGAGCCCCCACGCCTTCTGGATGCGCGGGTGCAGCTCGGGGCGCTGTAGCCACATCTGGAGCCACGTGGACAACTGCTGCCTGCGTATCGAATGCGCAGGGTCGCCGTGGCCGAGCGTCGTAGCAAGGATGGTAGTCAAACAGCGGCCTGGGCCGCCCCCTGCCACTGTCCGCCCAGCTTGGCGACGGAGGTTGGTGATCTCGTACTCGGGCAGTCCCATCTGCTGGTGGCCGTAGACGGCCTGAGGTAGACTGCCTGTGCGCCACAGTCCCTGCGAGACTCGACGTAGCCTCGCGATGCGGCGGACATTGGCGATGGCCTTGGTCCGCATGGCTGCCTTCTTCATTCTGTCCCGAGCCTTGAGCCGACCTCGAGCACGCCCAGCGCCCACGCCGCATCCCAGGTCGACTGCAGTCGGGACGGCGCGGGCGGGGATGCCTTGTCGCTGGAGAGCTCTGGCGATATCCGTGGACATGGCGGCGCTGGAGGCGACGACAATGGTCTTGTCGGATACGACGAGCTGCGCCTCCTTCTGCATCAGCTGTCCAACATACTCCAGCCTGGATCAGTGTGTCGGTCACGGCTCTGGCGGTGCCTTCAGCTCGGATGATCGTGTCGTCGATGAAAGTCCTCATCATGATGCTGTGCTGAAAGCGAAGATGAGCAGAGTGGAGGAGAGACCCCGGCATGGCCTTCGCCAGCTTGCCTCCGCGGGGCGATCCAGCCGCAAGTGACTTGGTGGGGTGCATTTCTCTGGACACCCACTGCCTCTCACGAAGATACCGCGGCGCCAGGAACATCTGGAGCTCCAGGGCCAGGATGATCGCTGGGAAGCCTTGTCGCATGCCAGCCTTGCAGAGCAATGGGATGGAGATGCTGTCGTAGAACTTCTCCAGGTCCAGCAGTATGGCCCCGCTGGCAATATTCATGATACTACAACACTCGTCCATGCAGCACCTGACGAGCGCCGCCTGGAGAGAAGAGGAACCCCGGACTGCCGTGTCCCAAAACTCCGATAAACCTTCACTCCACTTCTCCGATAGTGGGTAGCGTATCTTGGACCATAACTTCATGAAGAATGGGAGCTGGCCGAGGATGCGGTCGCCCCCCTTGGCCTTCGGCGCAACTGCGCCAAGCGCCGCGAAGAGCTGGGGCGGCCGCATGCCCTCCTCCTCGACACGGTTGTAGAGCTGGGCCAACTCCTGCCTGGCGGGGATGGGCAGCCGCTGGATCTCAATCGGCCCCATGGCGCCGATGCCCTTGGCCTTCTCGGCGTTGAGGCGGCCGACCACGGTGTCGAGCTGCTCGAGCGCGATGGGATCCACGCCCTCCTGCTTGGCCTGGGGCACGACGACCTTGAGCCCGTCCAGGATGGAGGTCTGGGTAGCTGCCGAATCGGCCCAAACCTTCTCCCAGGAGTCGGCGCGTCGGTCCATGATCTGGCACGGGGCGGCGCATGTGTTCCCCTCGGCGCCAACATGCTCGTCGCGAACGATGGCTGGGGGTTTGACGCGGCGGTGGAGCGCGCCAGGAGAGTCACGCCACACCTTGAGCGCCCATTTGCCGAAAGCACGCCGCCCGTCTGACAGCGCCTTGCTCACT